GTAGCTCGTACGACTGTGACAGCAGAGAGTTCTCGTAGGAGTTTCAGATGCATAGGAGCTCATCTCTCCAGTTCTGGAGATGCTAGTGGTGTTACTTCATGCGCGTCTTCTGCTGTCGTCTGCTCTAGTTCCTTCGTAGCACCAGAAATCAACAGTGCAACTAAGTTTTATTGCTGCTGAGAAAAAAGAAAAACAATCGGTGCATATCCAGTCTAGGTCGGTGGCTTCGCCTATTGTTATACAGGTGGCAGACCTCAATCTCAGCACCTCTTCTTGGACTCACCTCAGATTCCAGCCTGGTGCAGTGAAGCGGTTAGAGTGGCAATGGCCAAAGTGGTCAGGGCCCCATGTCACCCCCCACCCCACCCCAGCATCCTCAGTGTTCATTTCCCTTTCATCTTGAGTGTGAAATCGCTGCCGGTGCAGCACTGACCTCAGCATTAAGAGGTCAACTATTGAAATCTGATGTGCGCCTCTCTGGCTGAGGGACTTCAACAGATGGAGGGCAAAAGAGGGAATGGAAGAAATGGAAGGAAAAAAAGAGGCATTTAAGATTAGTAAACTGTATAATAGCTCTGAGTCTTGTACTTACATTGCTTTGCTTAGGGAATGAGCATATATATTGGTGTAGTAGTTTAAAATGTTTGCTCCCTACTGCACATGTTGTTAAGTGTTTCTAAGGGAAGGTGAACATGTTTAGAAGCCCTGGAAAAAGATTGCCATTGGACTATTTTAGATTGTAGTGGACAAACCCCCCCCACGTAAACCACTGCTAGTATTAGACACTTTTTAACTGCATTTCTGTACCACCGCATTAAAAATTTGCTTTCCTATGATTCCTCCTAGTTAAGGGCATTAATATCTGCGAGAAGAGAAACTCCCCAAAACTCCAAACTTAGCAGCTTTTGGCAGCTTTCTACAAAATACCTGCCAGAACTTCCTGTCTCCATGTGTTTCCAGCATAAGGTTCTGCATTTAAAGTCAATTCGACACCTCATCTCAGTATGAATCCCCTCTGAAAGCATATGTGATATGAAGAGTAAGAGAAGTTTGAGGTCTTGTCTCATATTTCCCATCGGCTACACTTTCATCCCTCTCTCTGCAGCAGACCACCCCCAGCAACCCTGCCCAAATAAGGTGTTCTGCCTTCAATACTCTCCTCTCTGAAGAATCTGAGGAGTTCAGAATCTGCGAAAACTTTGGATCTCAAACACAAACATCTTTTATTCAAAGGGTGTCTGTAATCACAAATAAATAGCTTTTCTGGCGATGAGCACAAGGCACAAGAGAGAGAGAGAGAGGAGCCTATCTCAGGAGCAGATAACTAGTAGATATGATTCCTTAGATAAGTAGCAGTAATTTGGCTTTTAGAGATAGCTCCAGGGGCGCTGTGCCGAGTTGCGCTGATTTACTGTGTGTATGGGAGGTTGTTTTTTTTCCCCCCACATTTTTATCTCTCCTGTTGAAGAGCTTTTCATCTCTGATGATTTTCTCTCTTTTTTATGTATTTCCCCCAGAAGGTGAGATCACAAACCCACAGAAGGCAGAGTGGCATGTTTTAAAGCGATGGACAAAATACAAATATTTGAAAATGTATTTCATGGTAATTATGTCAGGTTTCATGGCCTTGGCACAGTACTGAGGCACAGCCTGGATGCCTTAATTTGTATAGAAATTGTAATCATTTGTTCATTTCAAGGTGAAAATTGCATTTTTTAATTTAAATTGTATCCTGCGTGATAGGCTATTATCTAGAAAAATTGTCTCTGTGTATGGCGGTCTATGCCCTGCCGTCACGCCTGTTTAGAGCCCACTTCTCCTGAGAAAGGGCTTGTATATGAATCTCCTGACTGAATGCACCCAGTTTGTTCTTCACTTATGGGCCGCCACTGCACTCATTTCCATTTTTGTTATTAATATTAATTAGCTTGAGAACACAGCTCAGATTTTAAATGTAAATCAAGCTTGGCTTCACAGTGATTTTTATCTAGCTCCGATTTCTTAGATTTACAACTTTACTTGGACTTTTTTTTGTCTTTGTTTAAAAAAATGAATTAAGGGAGGTGTGCATGGATGTGCATATATGTGCACATGTGCATTTCAAGTATTGCAATCTGAATTGGTTCTATATAAATAAAATGTAATGAATTGAAGATTGATCTAACTTAGCTGATTAAATGTAATATAGCTGGTGAAAGATTCTATAATTTTGGTTCCTGGTAAATCAGACAATCCCCTGTTTGAGCTCCTGATTTTTTTTTTTTTACTTATACATGACAGATTATCTATCTATAATACCTGAGAGGGGTAACCATGAAATTCAAAATACCTAAAATGTTCTGAAAATAAGATTTTCTCCCTATGCAAAATACATGGTTGGGAAGGAGATATGTGCATGGCAAGCTGTGCGTCTGTGTCTGTGTCAGTGGGATCCTTGAGGTGACGAGCACAAAGCTGAGGCTCAGGTACACAGCGTATGCTGGCATAATTACAGGATTTGGGGGATTATTATACTGTAAGTGCTTTCATGGCGACAGCTGGGAGCTTTTTTACTCCCTATGACACATAATCTCAAAGAATAAAACCAAGACCCCAGAGCATCTCTTAATCATTTCTTAGCATACCTGCACACGGATCTGAACTCTTTCTGAAGACAAATTTGAAAAATTAGAATATAATTATCATATCTGGTTTAAATCATTCTAAAGTCATGTTTTCAAACACACATTTTCTTTAAATCTGAGACTTTTTGGCTTGTTGTTTTTTTCCCCCTTAACTGGCTGTTTGCGTTCTTCCTCTTCACGGCTTTCCTGAGTCTTCAGCAGAAGGTTATTTATCACAGCATGGCCAGGTTCAGGAGCTGGGTCCTAAATAAGATCTGAATCAGAGCCTCTATTCCATGGCTCATTCTGAAAGTATGACCAGGCTGACGCTGTGAATTCTCTATCACTGCTGCATGAGTGATAGGGCCTCCTGGTCTCTACAGCAAGGCTCAGGAGTTTCATTTCCATCCCTGTGATCTAAACAACCCCATTACCGGCAGCCATTTATGCACAGGGGCAGTAGGCAAGCACTGGGCCTGAGGACACAGCCCACAGCTAAGCTACCATGGCATAGAGCTACCTTCAATGGCCGTATGTCCATATAGAGGAGGGGAGAGGAGGAATGGAGCGCTCGGGCCTCTACACTTTATCTAAACCACTCCAGAGAGGCGAGTGGAATCGGCTCTTGTGGGCTCTGTTTATCCTCTGCTCCTGTAGTCAATCAATTAGGGGATCAAAGCAGGAGATGAGGGAAATGTCATAAAGCTCTCCCACACACCACTGCCTGAGCTGCCACCTCGTCCAGTCTGAGTGACAGCAGACCCGAGGGAGACAAAACTCCCAGGCCGGCACCTCAGGAGACAAGCTGGAGCAAAGGGGACAACCGTAGCACATGCCAAGGTCTAATCTGGACAACCAGAACACAAACTTTTAGAGGAATATATGAAGGATGACACGCAGCAGGCAAAGAGCCACAATGCATATTTGATATGTTCAGAGGATCCATTGAAAGCCCCCCAGTCTCCTCAGAATGAACTCATATCAAAAACTTGCTTTGAAATCGATTAACTAATTGACCTGCCTCATTGGCATGCTAATCCAGCACCCAAGAACACTATTTTTTTTTCACAATATATGTTTTGTAATTAGATATTCAAGAGAATTAACATTTGCATCAAATTTAACTGAGCCTTGATGATATAACGTGGCGATAACGCTGCATTTCAGTGCTGATTTGAATCTGTGAAGGGAATCCTAAACGTTATGTATCAGTTTATACTCACTGAGTATGAAAATATGAAATAGGAATGATAGGTACCCCTTGATAACACAAGCAGTACTGACTTCATTTAGCTTCAGATTTATCTGCTAATACAATTTGATGGTGATGATGTTAATAATTTTGATTAGTGATGCCTTTAATTAGTTCACATTTAATTGCAAATAAAATGTATTTGTTGTCAATTTGTGGCGTACAGAAAGTAAATATACATCTCTCACGGTGCATCTTGGCATGATTTACTAGTTTAGACAAGACTATGTAGGAAGATTTTCTTGCTGCGGCGACTGCACACATATCCAGCATGTTTGAGATTTGTTAAATGAATGAATGAATGTACCTAAGGCGGGTTTGACATACCTCCAGCAGTGCCTGATGGCTACAAGTGAATGAGCGCCACTGTTTTGACGTGTAATATAAAGCACAGCGGATGCTTCCACACTACACCGGTTAGTTCCCCTACATTCACACCATACCGCAGAGATTTGCAGACTGCATTCCCCGGCAAGCGGAGGGAGAGGCGAGCGCTGCTGGTCAGCGGGTAGAATGAATTACTTCCTACAGCTGCAGCTAGACACACTTTCAGTCTGCGTCTCCTCGTCTGGGACATTTGAGCTCTCATCACTCTCTAATCATATCGCCAGCGCTGGAACAGTCACTGGTGACCCCCGCAAATGTGCTTGAACTTACATGCTCAGACTACAAGCATGCGGTTAGGGAAAAGATAGATCAAGTGTGGCTGATTTAGGATTTTGCAGATGCACACAGATTTACACCAGGCCTGTAATTAATCTGTCTGAAATATATTTTCCATCAATTTATTTTTATTTTATTAGCCTTTTTAAATCTTAGAAAATACTAAAAAGGCTTGCCACAATTTCCCAGAGCCCAAGGTCACAATTTTAATGGCTTTTCTTACCTAATCAAAGTCTGTCAGTCAGTCCAAAATTATATAAATGGGAGAAAGGCTGGAAAAAACAGATATTTGATTGGCTGGATAAAATGGTTATTGTCTATACTGACTATGTATGTACATATGTAGTACATGTAAAAACTGAAAGAAGCATTGGATAAATAAAAAGGTTCATTACTGACTCGTCTCATAATAAACGTTAAAAACCTGCACACGACAGAAATAAGAGACAAAAGGCTCAACTCTGTTTTGGATCTTTAATTGATAACAGTTACGCCAGTGTTACAGTAAACACACCAACAGGCTGAAGGTAGTAAATACCAATACAAGTTTCCCACTACTCTAATACTTCATACAGCAGAATAAATTATACCATGATAATATACACACATGCGGAACAGAAAAAGGAGTAAAGCAAAGCACAGATGTCAAAAAGCAACTAAACAGGTTAAGGGTCAAACAGACGGGAGGAGGGAGTGGGGAGGGCTGGGAGGGAAGGAGTTGTATGCCTTAAATACCCAAATGTTTATTGATGCGAGTGTTAGAAATGGGTTTGATACACTAAAGACAATTCTAAAACTCTTCCTTTTTAAAATATACACATGAGTGAGGCGTCTAAGTGAAGCAGTTGGAGCAGCAACTGCTGCGGTTCAGTGCGGAGTCAGCATTACTTTGACGTTTTCTCCTGAAGTCTTATTGGTCCACAAATCCAACAAATTCCCAGAGTAGAAAGCCTGTTGTCTCTGGCATTATTATCATCATCATTATCATCATCATCACGCTGGTCCATTGGCAGAGTCACACACCGAAGGCTCAGGTGTGTTAGGTCCTTGGTCCAGTGATAGCTGGCCTGCTTTTATACTCAGTCTGTAAAACAGGCGGTCAAAAACACCCTGAAGATGTTTAATTCAGCCACCTTTTAAATATACAGCGGTCCTGTGGTTCAGGGGGAGTCTGTCTGTGACACCAAGCTTTCATTTTCCTTCAAGCTCAGTTTTACCCTCTTAAATGTCATTTTAATTGGAACATTTTCAGTGGAATTTATATTTTACTCATTTATACAAATCAATTCTTACCTGGGTCAGAAAAAAAAACAGACTCAAAACTTTTGGTTGAAACAAGTAAACCAATTAAATACATTAAAAAGAAAACAGAAAAAAGAAAACCAAAACATTTACTTCCACAGATCCCTTGCTTACCTACCACTCAACATAGTGTTGTTTTAGTATAAAACATACTCTTTATAAAGAAACAATACACAATCTGCTCCAGCTACTGTACATTTTTTCAGATTTTAAAGGCGACGAAGGACCAGATCCTTTCTTGAGCATTAACTGTCATAATAATCACACTGATGTCAATGAAAAATATCACATACATCTCAAGGGAACAGCTGGTCCTGGATCAAGTCAACAATGCGTGCTACACAAATGTCTCATATCCACTATTATTTAAACTTTTTTTTTTCGTCTTTTTTGTACATTTGGGTGAGTATGTGAAAGCGGAGGATTAGACGTGGCTCTGGTCCAAACCAGAGAAGGGGGCCAATCAGCGGAGTTACCTGTGCCCTTTCACAACTGACTGGATTATATGATTTTCCAGAGTGCATGTGAATGGCACAGCTTGTCTACTTTTTAATCTCATAACAGAGAATGCTGGAATGCCTATAGTATGTTGGAGATGGAGGCTGAGGAATGTTCTGAAGGAATTTAGTCGAAAGGTGGAAAGCCAACACAGTGTGCATTTACAAAATGTGCTAATTATGCTATAAAGAAACCTGAAATACTGGCTAGTGATGAGAAGGGTCACTGTGAATTAGCTTTGACATTATATTCGTGTGATTTAATCTGCTTCACACTGTTTAAGTCACACAGGATTCCCTGGCAGATGGGATTTGGGAGGAATGGGGAGGTGTGTGTGTGTGTGTGTGTTCGTATGAGGGGGTGGTTGAGCTTGGCAAGGTCCATGTTTCAAAATACATTAATTTCCCCAATCCTGTTTTTGCAAACAATGCCCTCCTCCCTATGGACCACCACTAAGGATGGGATGGAGGTTACAAGGGGAAAGCTATTGGCCGCCAAAACGCTGCTTTAATTCCCTGCAGAATCCAGCCAGCCAGACTTCCCACAGTATGGCAGAGTTCTTTAGGAATGTCAAGACGAATATGAAAGTGGGAAGGTCAAATCGCTCACAAATATTTGAGCTCAGGGAACAGGCAGAGGAACAGCAGCTTGGAAAACAATCATCCTCTTTTGTGTGACTGTGTGCCGACACGCAAACATGCATATGCAACAGACAATCGCTTCCAGATCATCTCAGTCATTCTCTGTGTTTTACACACCGACATCTAACGGAGAAAAGAGATACGAATGGAATCAAAGAACAACAGAAATCACATTAACCATAATCATATAACAGCAACAATAGTCTTAACAATATCAAAAAAGAACAAGAAGAAGAGTCGTTCAAATGATATTGGCTTTGTTAACTACTATGAACAGCAAGGTCAAAAGTACATGTTGTTGATGGCTCTAAATGTGTGCTGGACTGCAGCCATGACAAGGAGGAATCTGGGCCAATGAAGTTGACCATCCTTTGGTCATCTGGGGGTCCTTTTTGGCCCACTGAGTAAAATAAACAGGTCTGAGGCTGGGACATGAGTACAAGGAGCGGGCAATTATGCCCAAAGGGTGGGGAGAAAGGGTGCAGAGCCGCCTGGTGGTGTGAAAAGTTTAGCTCCATTCCCGAAAAGGGACTTTTCGCTCTCTCACAAGCGTCACTTTCTCTGGCACAGAGTGAGGGCGCACGTCTGTTCACTGATGTCATGGCCGAGCTGCAGATAGACGAGCTGGAGTTGCAGTCCAGACTTGATGGAGCATGGAGGAGGGTGGCAAAGGGTGAAATAGAGAGAGGTGCAGGGTTTGTCCCGAGTGGCTTCAGTAAGCCTGTCCCGTCTCCACCTGCAGCAGCCCCAGCACTGCCGAGTGGTCTCCAAGCTTCATCCTCCTCTGGGTGGACAAGCTCACATTTTTAGCCAGGTAGTCTACAGCAGCTATACACACAGACAAACAAACAAAAGAAGACAGAAAGGAAAAACAAACAAACGTTAGACAGGTGGTAGATTCCTGGGACATATGTCCTATTCACTCTCATTTCATTCCTCTGATTAAGGCTGAAACAAGTTGTGGCAGAAGAGAATGAGTCAAATGAAAAACAATTCACACAGAGAGAGTGAAAGATAAAAACCCCTCCCCTGTCCCTTGTCTGAGGTTGGCATGCTGCTGGCACAGAGCATGTGCATCCTGGTAAAGTCTCCATGCTGTCACTCAGACAGTTCCCCGTGTGTGTTCTGTGTGCCAGTCTTCATTACACTTGGCATCTCTGATTTCATGCCCTCCACACTCCACATGGCCGATCATTTTCATCCTCAGACAGCAGCTCCTCTCCTCTCTCTTCCATTCATTACCCATCCACTGTGCTCAATCACCATCTTAATTAACCTCACATCAGCTCACATCCGCACTGCCATCAGTTTCTTGCTGCTGACAAAAACACTGGTGCGCACACACAAAAACGTGACAGATTGGCACGCGCTCGCCCGCACTCACGCATAACACAAACACATTTCGGAAAAGAAAATCACCAGATGCACAAAAGCATCAGATCACCACCAGAACCTGAAAATAAATACAAACAAATGTCAGCTAGCCAATGCTGCATTGGTTTGTTCAGGAAGTGGGCTTCATTTTACCTCTTGTGAATGTCTGTGACAGCATCAGTCAATTATGCTAATCTAATAAAGCAAACTCTTTCCTGCCCTGAGGGTGTGTGCATGTGTGTGTGTGTGATCAAAATAGGAGAAAGAGGGAAAGAGAGGTGGGCAAGAGGACACTGTGGCCCCTGAGGGTGTGCCGTTCTTTGAAGTGGCCCTCTTCTCTTTCCCATCCAAGTGGAGTGGGGTGTGACTAAGGCAGCTCTGTAAATGGATGGTTGTGGTGTGGAGGTGGTGGTGGGGTCTTTATCAAGAGCACGTGTCTGCCTCCACCGACCAGGGTGCAAAGGTCAGGAGGCTCTCCTGCCTGGGAACTGGGCATCACTTCATAGGCTTTTTAAATTTAGTCAGCTTAAGAGGGGGTCGGAGGAGAACGACCAGCTTTTGTCACAAAAACATGAAAGTATTTGCTTATGCAACAACAACAGTATGCACATACAAGGTCTACTTACTCTGGCCATACTGGCTGTACTGGTAGCCTGCAGTGACGGGGTCCACACTGTAGCTGGTGGCGCTGTATGTAGGAGGGCAGTATGACTGCGAGGAAGCCAGGCTGTCCACACTCTTGATGGTGTCAGAGCGCTGGCTGCAGCTGGCTGAGATGGGGTTGGAGCTCTCCAGGCTGCTGTGCAGGGGGGAAATGGAAAAGTCGTGCTGGGGCTGGGAGGGTACAGCACTAGGGTTACTCAGGATACTCATCACCTGGAGGGGAGGGGGGTGGGGGGAAAGAGGATGTTAGAAACTTGGAAAATTGAGGATCAAAGCATTGACAGAGTTGAGGGAAAGTACTTTTTTTTTTTGCAAGTATAGTGCCATCCCAGCACTTCACGGTAAAGATGGCAATAGAAATACACCATTTCAACTTTGAAATAGGAAAGGGGAGAAACTTCCCCATCTTTTTTTAAAGAGCAGAGGGGAGGGAGGATACCAGGAGGGTGATGAGGTTAAAAAAAGGAGAAAGGGAACAAGAGACACAGTTTCCATTAGCTGGCGCTGCCAGTAAGTGTTCTGCTGTGGGACAGACGGGTCCCAGGGTGATAATAGACCCACCATCCTTGCCAGACAGCCCCTGTCCCGGAGCCTGAGGCCTGAGCCCGAGCCTACAGCACAACAAGCACCAAGGGAGTCCCTAATCCCTCGCCCCTAGCCTACCCATCTCATGAATAGTAATGGAGTTGGAACTGGTAAATGATCCCCTCAGATCCCCACACAAAGTAGGCTCCACAAACCATACTGAGCGGGCCGCTGATACTGCAGGTTGAGGCTTGCCTGAATATTACAGTGTGTATATTATTCACAGTGCATAAAGGCTTCCAATTCAATATTCTAGATTAATGTAATAGCATGTGACATTCGTCAGAAGAAGGCCTCACAATATGTTAAAATGTAAGAGATTACTTCTGGTGCTCCTCTAGTCTGAAGCACAGTGGCCCAGAACGCTGTGAAAAATTTTGTTTTCTCATGCTGTGAGTTTCGTTAAGTGAAAAAGCCTAAGTGTAGAGTGTGTGTGTGTGGTAAAAAAAAAAGGCAATTGTCCCACACATGCTTCCCTCCTATAGCAGCGAAGCCTTCCTTTCAACATCAGGTTCATGTTGAGTTTTGCTATGCTGCACTGGCCTTTGGCTCCTTGGCTGCTAAACCAATTAGCCCATCATAGAGGTGGTTACACAGGGGTGATACAGAGGCAGACATATGTTTGCATGCATGCACAAACGGACACATGCATACACATTTGTAGCAACCACACACCCAACGCAGGAGCTAGCCAAAACAGTCCACAAATGATGCTGCACGCCAGAATTATCCCTCAGAGGGAAAATTAACTATATTCTGCAAATTAATCATATCTTTAGAGAGGGGCCTCCCTAGAAATACGAAACACTCGAAGCACATTAGAAACATAAAGGCTGGTTAGTCATTTCCACATGTTAATTCTATCAGTAAGGAAACCCCCACCGTCCCCTCCACATCTGCGAACAAAGCATGTGACATGTATCCATAAGAGGGAGATTCATAGCCCTCTTCATGCTGGACACATGTGATGCTCCCTCCCATATGGAGATGAAGTGCACAATGTGAGGAAGATGAAGGGTTATGTTTGGATGGGTTCCTTAAAGTAAAAGAAAAAAAAGGGAGCTAGTAAAATGTCCTGAGAGAGACAGCTGGAGGGCATGAGCCCATTTTAGTTATTGGTTAATTGAAGCTTGATTACATTGCTTCCTTATGAAATAGGACAGCCAACAACTGGCTCTATTATTATTCACGCTCATAAAAGCTCTTCAAAAGGAAATGACTTCTTATCGCGACATGTTGCGGCATTGCTATTTTAGCAGGATATTTTAGATGGATCGGCCACTTTAGAGGCTGACAAGTGTTGGCATCTGTGAGGATCTCAAGCACAGTTTTCAGTTATAATTTAAGTGTTCTTAGTGGGGAAAGGTATGTTCAGAGTGGATTCTTCCACCCACACCTACAGCATTTTATGTGATACACGGTTCGGTTTTAATTGGTGGGTTTTGCTACTTTGATGTTCCCATAAAGTTTTTTTCCCCCCTAAGTGTTCAAGTGTTAAACGATACTTTGTCACATAAACTCGTAAATGCCATTTGTGGCTGGATACATTGACATATTTCTGTTTCTGTGTCGCTCGTGAAACAGCCTCTGCAGATATTAAGTTCTAGCCAATAAATGGACTCTAAGAAAGCGGGGGGATCTGCTTTTTGTCTTGAATTAAAAAAAAAACAAAAACAAAAGAAAGGCAGGAAGCTGATGGTTGTCACTAAACACGTGGGCGTATTAATAAAGAGTTGAAAAGGACTTTGGATTCCTGTCAAATTTTAGAGTTGAGGAGAGGCCATTATATTTATCATCCATACATACAGCATGCTCTTGCAGAGCAGAGTTTCTCCCTGTTTCTCTGCACCCGCCTCCCCCCCACCTCCCTGTTTCGCCTCGCATACGGCGTCCTCAGCAGCCCAGAGTTCGTTTGTTGTTTAACGTTGTGTGAGTGCTGGTTTGGGAGATAATGTGAGCCAGGACCTAGTTTAAAGGACAATGCTCCAGGGCGTTCCCTGCCTCTTGCGCACAACACCCCTCCCTTCACACCCGCCCCCCTCCTTTTCCACTCTCTCTCTACAGATAGATTACTTTATAAATAATAATAAAAAAGTAATTAATTCTCTCAACTTCTGAGCCCTCCAGCCTGTGGCAAAGTGAGTGCGGGAAGTGTAAATGGATACAATGTGCATCCTTTCAGATAAATAAATAGCACACTTGAGACAAAAAGAGGCCCTTTCAAACCCCCCTCCCCTCCCCTAATTTCTTCAACAGCCAAATTACATTTTTTTGTAACATTTTTTTGTTTGCGCGAATGTTTGACGAGTTGTTCTTTGTTGGATTTCACTCTGGAATAAAACAACGTGACAGAGACGGAGCTGAAACACTGCAAGTGATACAAGAAAAAAACACAATGAGAGAAAAGAAACACAGTACAGAAAGAGAATGGGAATGTGCCGGAAGAGCTGAGTTTTCTTTCAGCCATTATAATCATTACGAGATCATAAAAGTCAACATTATTCCACTTCGACTATTTAATTTTTTACATTGTGTAAGGCAGTGAAATGGAGCTCATTCGTGTCTACTTACAGGAGCAGTCGTCCCTGCTGCACCTGATAATAAGAATGCACCCTTGCACTGGATTAAAACAACACCAATTCACAAGTGTAAAGTGAGGAAATGGAGTGCTGAGAATATGATAGCCTATAGAAAGAAGGCGAGGGGGCCAGCAGAGAGAGTGATATAGCGTGAGCGAGAGGAGAGTGGAGGCTTTGGGAAGTACAAAGACTCCTGTAGGACTGCACTGGCCTGAGGGCTAGCCTGCCTGGAGAGCTGATAGGAGCCCCTTCTGTTCCATTCCCAGCGCCAGCGCCAACACACCCCGCTCCACAAATACTCTTAATCTGCGCAATACTGGATTAGTTCCTCTGTCACCGATACCTCCCCGTTCTGCCCAAATCAAAATGCCCCCAAGATGTACCTTTAAGTTAGGCAGAGGTCACTGGGGCAGACAGGGAAAAATGAGCACTCCAAATGTCTGTAAGTTATCTGAGTAGTGCAGAATAACATTGTGCACCTTAGCAGATCTGCCTGGCTGATACTCGCTCCAGCAAAGAACGATTAAAGATCCACAGTGATGACACTGAATTTCAGATCAATATTTGAAGGCCAGTCCTCGGGGTGTGATTACAGGAAGAGAATAGTGTTTAATTCTGTAGCCCAGAAGTCTGGAAAGTGTCTGACATTGGAAACAGTCAAAATATGAAATAAAATGTGCGTATTTAATACATAGAAAGACACAAAGAACAGACAGACTTCTTATGTTAGATCATTAAATGTTACATGAAAACTTGATTTAAATCTTTTAAAATCCTAATCAAACACTTAACCTGAAACCAAACAAAAAAAAAATGAAGGAAATAAATAACAAATGAAAATATCAGTGACTCCCCCCTCCAAGTCAGTCGACTCCTGCTCACACAGCGTCCCGCCCTTCCCCCCATCCCTCACATGAGAAGGCCGGCCCAGCGGGCAGTAAGGCCCCTCATCTGAGCAGACAAAATGACTATTTAAAAATAACAGTGATTGCATAAATTGAATTAAAGCGTTTTGGTCACGGTGGAGGTGGCGCGAGGGGTGGTGTGGGGCCGCAGCAGAAAGCCAGGATGGTGGCAGGCAGCAGATGACGGGCTCAGGCCTGCATGCCACTGCGTTAATTGGCCGCGGCACATTCATAAAAACTGAAAAGTGTCTTCCACTAGTGCCACAGGATGAAGAGACAGAAGCAGAGTGAGAGGTAGAATGGTGGTGGTGGTGGTGGGGGGGTTGGTGCTGGAGGGAGAGAAATGGGCCTTTGAAGAATGTAGTGCAAATGGGGGGTTGTGGTGGGGTGCTAATTGTGTTCAATTAAGTGGCTGATTGGCACTGACAGAATGTGGGCATTGACATGTCAGGCACAGATGAGGACGATTAGCGGGCACTGGAACAAGCTGTCACTCCTCACAACATGTTAGCCATTCTGCGCCTCCCCTCTGCGCTCCATGAAGCTGTTCACACGTACCAAAGGAAGCTTAAATGAGCGGAAGTGGAATAAAATTCATATTTATTTTAAAGGCTAGACACGCTCCCTCTGTGTTACTGCAAATTTCCATTAAGCTAAATGCTCATGGCGGCCTTAGCGTTCCAGAAAGCACAGCTGCTCAAGTTGGAAAAAGGACCCCCACTCCACCCCACCCCACTCCCCTCCTTAACATCCCACAGCATAAGCTATAAACTTGGCCCCGCACTAACCAGAGGTTAATATACCGTCTATTGGGCTGCAATTGGAGAACGTGTGGGGAGCAATCCTCTATTCTCTGCTAGTGATATGCTTGAGTAACTATGGGATGGATTCAGCCACTGGGAACAAGAGAGGCCCCTTCTAAGCGGGCACACACATGCACACAGACTTCAGCTCGCCGCACCTTGCTCCAACGCCTCTTCTAAATTAAACGGCAGATTTTCTGATTCCAGGAGAGTGGTTTCAGCAAGGCAGGGCCTGGTGTGTGTGTGTGTGAGACAGCGCGCGCGCGCGAGAGAAGCAAGAAGCAAGGCTGATCGAGGGAGTAAGGAGAAAAATGAAGAGGGAGGAAGAAGAAGAGGAGGGG